AGAGAGCCGGGCCCCCCCCCAAAGGGGCGAAAGGGGAGGGGGGGGGGGCCCCCCCAAAGGGGGGGGGGGCCCACCCCCCCCCGGGGGGGGGCGCCCAGGGGCCCGAAAACGGGGGGGAGCGGGGGGGGGGGAGAAAGGAAACGGCCCCCCCCGCATGATCCGGCAAAATAGGGGGGGGACGCCCCCCCCCCCCCCCCCCCCCCCCTGCAATCACAACCGTCTGTTGTCCCGTCCGGAAGGCGTACACGCTTTCTTTGCTGGTCCTTTTGGCGAAGTTGGTGGTTGTGTTCGTTCGCATAGCAGGAAGGGTCTTTTGTTGGGTTTTTTGGTTGCCCGTTTGGGATCTTGATGGCCCCGGCGCAGCGACGGCAAACCCCGACAAAGCTCGAGCAACGTACGTGCACCCGCCACGGCTGGCCGCTAAGTTGCTGTGGTTATCTGCGTTGGACAGAGGGCGACGCGCATGCAATTGCGGGTCTGCCTGCTTTTTCTTGAGCTTAACTGTGACTCTTTTCTCCGTCTGGCAAGCATGATATGACGGGCCGCGTTATAACCTGTAGACGTGAATTTCCTGGCGAGGTTGGCGGGTGTGTGCAAGGTGTAGGTACGGTCCAGGAACACACGATACCCGCGGCGGCTTAGGGTACCGCGCGGATAACGCGTGGGGCTGATGCAAAATCTCACACAAACGGCGTGTGCATGTATGTAGCGAAACGAAGCATGTACGTAGTCAAGCTATCATTCTGTTGGGCATTACGTGGTTTTGAGGCAAGCCGCCATGTTTTGGCTCCACCCTCCCATCGATCGGCTTTTTGTGGGATATCTTGGTGTTTGCGGGGCTTTGTAGCCTTGTTCCACCGTTGCTGCTGCTGCTGCTGCAGACTTTTTATGGGGGGGGTTGTTCCGGTAGGGTTTGATCCACGCAATCCCCTTTTTCTCCGTTCATACCTTAACCTTCGGATGGGGACGTTGTACAGAATGGAAGTAGCCCAGGGCCCTTGTAAAGTAAAAAACAATCAATGGCGTTTGGCGAAAATCCGTAGCCTACTACTCTGATCCATAGTATTGCGGCCTCAAAAAGAATAGGCACCGCAGAATCCTTCCCTCCATGATAAGAGGCAACATCGTGTAACGGAAAGAAACTGATAACTGGAGTCGAGTGAAGCTGTTGTTGCCAATTTCATTACTTCCGCGGGGTTCTCTTGAAGTACAGCATCATCAAACAAGTGATACCCGCTCTAGACAGCGTCCACGGAGAAATTGTGGAAGTCTCAACAGCAACTTTCACTTCTCGCCAGAGCCTTGCACCGACTTTGCCCCCGGGTTATGCAGCATTTCTGCCGACCGAAATGAAACTGGGTCGCTTTACTTAGTCTGCCACACAGCAACATCTGGGCAACATGTCACACATCTCAACAAAGATGGCGTCTGCATGACACATTTCTGCTGCGAGAACACTGCTTATTAACTTGCGTCCTGTGTGACGTCTTGTGGAGTTCCATGTCTGTCTCGGTGCTGTTCATAATCATGGCGTTTGAGTAACCTCTTTTAGGGTAACCGTGTCTGTGACCGCGGGAATCGACAGGTCAAGTGTTTGATCAGTACGGACAGATGGAGGTACTGGGTAGAGAGAGATCGGAACGGTTTTCAATTTGAAGACAGCAACAACATAGGAAAGGGGTATATAGCTATGCAAACCTTGAGTTGAAGGGCCCTCACCATACCCTAACCCAAGACGTTCGGACAACCTAGGACAGTTCTATAGGGCGTGTAATAGTACCAGTATCTAGAACAGGGTTGCTAATAAACACTCAAATGTCTATCTTCCGGCGCGCATCTCCAACTAAAACTCCGTTCATTTTTTCCGAAGAAGCTTGAGAAACATGACACCACGCCTCTGGACATGTTCGAACTTCGTATTGTGGTGCACCACCTGGCCGCGCTAAACATGATCAAGGTATGACTGACCGGCTACACCAACCACACACAGTTGAACCATTTCGCAAACGTGACTTGGAATTGAAGGTTTGGCTCGTCTCGCTGCAATTCTGGTGACTGGCATCATCATTGCGTTTATCAGGCAACAAAGTCCACCCACCGTGCTTGTTCAGTGAGTATTGTCCTTTTGAGTGGCCCCCAACCTTCCATACCCTTGTTGCAGTTCAAGCTCAACGTACAGCAGGATGTCACGGAGGCTGACAACCTTCTTCCCGAGGCGGTGTTCAACGTCGCAAAGAGGGACGATGTGAGCGACATCATCGTATCAGTGCCGAAGAGATCGCAAAAAAACATGTATTTTTCCCTTTACTTTGGTTCTGAACAGTACGGAAGAATAAACACGGAGTGCCCTTCTACTAGTAGAACTAGAGAGTCTTGTAAGTCATTGCGTCTTCTCATGGAATTGTAAACGCTTCGCCCAGGACAACGTCGACCGTGCTCATATCACTCTTGGTTCTTCGTCTGCCAAGCAAGGCGACCAAAAAAGTGCAGAAAACTTGTACCCTTCCTACCCTTCCTACACGACTCAATACTTGAGCCCGACCTCTCGGATCCATCTTCACAAGCATAGAGAGGCCCGTGATCCGTCGTCTGTAGATCTACACCCGTGGCTCCAACCTACATTCGCAGCCTTTGATACTTATCCTGTTTCACTTCTCTGGTTCTATCTTGCTTGTCTCCTATCAACCGCGTTGCTTTCCTACCGTTGCACCGTCCGTGCTACCCGTGGTGCTGCCGTTACCAGCAATTCGAATCGGCTGAAACTGTCGAAGAATGTCGGTGCAAGACTAAAGCACCACAGGGACGGTGAGGAAAGCTATCACCTGCATACAACCTGTTCAATCCGCAAAACGCAGGCAAGGTACACACTTCTTGAACCCCCACCCGCTCTTTGACCGCCGCCGCCTTTCGCTAGATTAAAAAAAAAAGACAAGAACGCCCTTCTCGTGAGGATAAGTCAACGTAAGGCTTTCCTTCAGAACGCGGCTGACTGATTGAACCAATTGGTTGCCGCTGAGCCTCTTACGTATCCGTTTCGTCTTTGTCGTGCTCACGTGCACCCCTCCTAGAATCTATCTATCTACGTCTGCCAGGCGGTGAAGAGGGTCCGCCTGAAGACCCCGGGCCCCCCCCTCGCGCGGCGCGGTCATCAACCTGAAACGCCACCCCTTCAACCTGGAGCTTGGGTGCGTATATAATATGTGTTGGTGTGTGTACTGCACATTGCTCCTGTAACGAAGCAAGCGACGAGCAACCCACCAATGGGGTGGTTCCCTTCCCGATCGACGAGGTGATGTACATGCCAGGCCACCCCAACGTGCCACGCTTGGCAGTGGCAAAATCCAGTGCCACACGGGGAGCTCCTCGACAAACCGGCCAGTGCCGGGCACTGGTTCGGCCCTCCGCGACGAAGGGGTCCGAGTGGAAGGTGTTCAACGACACCTCCGAGACAACGGTGAACAACACGGACGTTGGCAAAGAGGAGGCCTACGTCCTGGCGTACCGTAGGATGGAGGGCGGCGACGTCCCTGTGTTCAACGAACCCGTCTGGGCGTACCCCGCGTGCGGAACCGGCGTCATCATCACCGGCTCCGAGGAAGCGCTGAAATGTCGCTGTCGTCCCCCGTGTTCGACTGTCCGACGGTCGCCATCATTTGATGACCGCGGTTGAGGTGGTGCCATATCGTGGCCGCAGTAGACGCGGTTTTCCGCGCATTCCCGTAGAAATCGGAGGGAAATACAGATGTTTGTGTGTTCAGATGTATATCCGCATTTTACCCGCGGTCTCTTTCTCCCGGGAGCTCGAGAGTAACATTGATTGATTGGTGGATTATGGAGGAAACAAAAGTAAATAATCTGAAATCTGAATATTCGACACCTTTGCAGGTAGTTGGCGATGACCAATCGTATTACCGTATATGACACAAGATAACACACCCCCTGGACCGATTTTCAAAGCTCGATTACTCCACGATGAAGAGGATGCATAAACGAAACAATACATTTTCGAAAACCTCTCGACGAGACGGTTCCAACGCCGCCGTTTTCGGCGCTGTGACTCTTCCTGCTGTTGAGAAATCGAGCTTTGAAAATCGGCCCAGGGGGTGTGTTATCTTGTGTCATATACGGTATGTCGGATTTGAAGGATGGACGGATATTTTTTTGGATACTTTCCTTTTGTTACCATCCTGCGCGGCGATTCGTGAGGAAGGTTTAGTGACCTCGCTGTTCTTGTGGTACAAGGTAGAATAAGAGTGGTCTATGGGGCCTGATGCGGGGGCTACGTTAATGTTTTGCGTGGGAATGATGGACACGATGCGCGAGGTTTTTTTGCTCCTCGACCATGTCTCTGAGCGTGATAACGGTCAGCATTCGGCCAAGCGGCTGCGTGAAGCCGGCGGACAATAGCAAAAAGAGAAAAAAACTGGTGCTATTGCAACATAATGTGCACTTCATGTTCTGTGCCGACGCATGTAGTAGGTTTTTCAATCGCATGCGTTTCCGGGCACCTGTGCTGTGGGAGTTACGATGGTCCACAGGTCGCCCATGAACTACTGTACCATGGAACCGTCACGGACCGTCACGGGGACCATCGGGTACGACACACAGTCAACGTGGATCACCCTGCCAAGGAAGTCTCAGCATCCCAGCCTTTGTGCCTTGTGTCTACGCCATTCCTTTTTTTGGCATTGCTGGCATCGAGCAAGAAAGAGGGTCCCCGTGCGAAAGGAGTATGGAACACTCACGGCACGCACATGCTTGCTACGCAACATCCGATAACAACATATTCGTGAAATTGAGAGCGAAGCATGAAATTGAGAGTGAGATTATTTATTGGAACATAGAATAGAACAGGCGTACGATTCCTGGAGAGCCAAATGTCTACTGCCTCTGAACCAGCCTCCCGCATGTAGTAACCAGCAGTTGAGCTATGCCATGGCGGTGTCAGAGGTGGGCAGAGTGATCAAGAACTTTGGTGGCGTCAGGAGAGAGGGTGCAGAGCAACGGGAAGTGAAGCTACATGGTTCGGACATATTTGTGTCGCACGAGTGTGCATGTGTGTGCATGATGTGAGCATGGTTGTGAGCTGCATGCGGTCCGCCAGCCATCAAACGCCAGAAAAAAAGCCAACGGCGGTGTGGGACGAATACACAGCAGCAGTAGGCATGGACATGTGACAGCACCTATCAGTATGACACACTGGCTGCACCATGTTATCCCAGATCATCAGGACACTGGTGTAGAAGGAATTTCTCTGGCAATACTGAGTCTTGGGTGTAGACGCGACAAGATGCGTGAGCTCTGGAGCGAGCTGAGTGTGGCACAAATATGTTCGACATCACATCACACATCACACACACACACACACACGCATCATGCAGGTCTCCAGCTGACAAAGCAAGACTGAAGAAAAAAAGCAACGGCCGTGCGAGACAAATACACCCAGGCATGGATGTGACAGCACCGGTATGACACAAAGGCCGAACCATTTCATCTGAGATCACCAGGACACTGGTGTGATAAGGATCTCTCTGAGCGTGCCGAGTCTCGGGTGTAGACGCGAAGAGATGCCTGAGCTCTAGGTGCGACAGTGCTGTCAACAATGTAGCAAGAGCAAACAATTGCCGACGGACACATGTTGCATTTTCAATACTCCACTGTCCACGTTTTCCAAAGGAATGTTCTGAATGGTTGAACCCTGCTTCCGAAAAAAAACAATCAATATCTGGCGGATAATGCTTCTGAGTTTATTTGGTGATTTGAAAGGTGGTGTCCGCAAGGGTGTCGAAATGTGTTGAATTTTAAACGCAGCAAACGTTTTCATTGGCTTGCCTTTTCTGCTTGCATTCAACCGTAGACTCTTTGCACACCAGTGAATGTTGTTTGCGTGTTTAAATTGTTCATCCACCGAGACACTTCGTCCAAATAGCCACAGCAACGGTTTCCTCTCTGTATTGGCAAGAAGGACGAGCCCCTCTGTTCCAAATAAGGCGCTACAAAGGGGTCATTTGGAAATATCGATACAATGACCGAAAGACCGACAGACTATGCATACACAATCATAGGGTCGAGATATTGTCACACACATCAACCGGATGTATAAACACGCAAGACGGCAGAGAGAGTTAGTTGTGTTCCCGTGCAACATCGACTCGAAGCAAGTGGAAGCAAGCGAGATGATCTTCAAAAAGTTCACCACGAACGCATAATGCATCAACCTCTGGTAAATGTTGTAGGCAGTGTATCTTCTCCTGAATGTATGTTGATATCAGCGCCGGCCACACACGCGACAATCATCATGCGACACTACCCTGCCAAGAGACAACTCTTGGTGTACGTACTGACTGCACTACAACACAACGACAGCAGTGTTTCTTTCGTTGTTCAAACAAGAGATCACGATGTGCACAACAAAATCAGCGGGAAAACATTTTATCGGTTTGGTTCCGGTGCTCGCACGCACCTATACATAGATGGAGATCAGGCATCTCTTCGCTTCTACACCCGAGACTCGGCACGCTCAGAGAGATCCTTATCACACCAGTGTCCTGGTGATCTCAGATGAAATGGTTCGGCCTTTGTGTCATACCGGTGCTGTCACATCCATGCCTGGGTGTATTTGTCTCGCACGGCCGTTGCTTTTTTTCTTCAGTCTTGCTTTGTCAGCTGGAGACCTGCATGATGCGTGTGTGTGTGTGTGTGTGATGTGTGATGTGATGTCGAACATATTTGTGCCACACTCAGCTCGCTCCAGAGCTCACGCATCTTGTCGCGTCTACACCCAAGACTCAGTATTGCCAGAGAAATTCCTTTTACACCAGTGTCCTGATGATCTGGGATAACATGGTGCAGCCAGTGTGTCATACTGATAGGTGCTGTCACATGTCCATGCCTACGCTGCTGTGTATTCGTCCCACACCGCCGTTGGCTTTTTTTCTGGCGTTTGATGGCTGGCGGACCGCATGCAGCTCACAACCATGCTCACATCATGCACACACATGCACACTCGTGCGACACAAATATGTCCGAACCATGTAGCTTCACTTCCCGTTGCTCTGCACCCTCTCTCCTGACGCCACCAAAGTTCTTGATCACTCTGCCCACCTCTGACACCGCCATGGCATAGCTCAACTGCTGGTTTCTACATGCGGGAGGCTGGTTCAGAGGCAGTAGACATTTGGCTCTCCAGGAATCGTACGCCTGTTCTATTCTATGTTCCAATAAATAATCTCACTCTCAATTTCATGCTTCGCTCTCAATTTCACGAATATGTTGTTCGATATAATTTGGATGAGGATTCGCCCAAGAAGACTACTTGTCCCTAGAAATATTGTCCACGTCGAGAGGGTAGTCCCACCCCCATGTCCTCGCAAATGAAGGATGTGTCTCCCACTGTTTTCGACGCGTTGTGGCAAAACAACCGAAACAACGCCATCTACAAGGGCGTGAACAAGATGCTTGTTACATCCCGACGACGACCTGTTCACAGTGATTTTACCACCATGAGAACCAACTGTATTTTTCGTCTGGGTCCGTTCGACTATGTTGTGTGCTCGCTCGATGCCACTGTGCTACATGGCACGGGAAGTCAGCCACCTGAATACGCTCACAGTCTTCGATGCTTTGGACGATGAATAGAGAAAGGACAGACAAAATCTGGATGAAAGTCGACAGGGCCACCAACACCAAACCGACCGGACCAAGGAGCCGCGCCTTGCCTTGATCGGCCGGGAAAATGTGGCGGCGGCAAACGGCATGGCCATGGAGAAAACTGCGACTTTCTGGAACGCCTCGAAGTTGTGGTCTTCGAAGGTGGCAGTGGGTTGGGCCTCCCGGCACCTTCTGCAACACGCAAAACGAGGAAAAATGACGGGCGGAACCTACGAAATTGGAGTAAGCACAGGCCTGATATGAAGCAGAAGGGTTTTGTTCCCCCTGGCAGTCGTCGTAGCGCACAAGACGGTGCTGACAGTACCAATAAACTGCTCTCGCTGTCACCGGTGCTTGCCAGTAGTACTAGCGTTTTGGTCTTCCACAGCGTTTGGCATCAGCCAATGAGCAAGAGAAACACGCGCGAGGGTGAGAACGGCGAGGTACGATATATATTGGTGTCACACGGTGCCCCGGGCACCTGGAAAGGGAAGAGTCATATGTCCGGGGTTTGTTTTCTTCATCTACGTCTAGAAAGAAAAGAAGCACAAAATTCAAAATTTTCAAAACACACAAGCGTATCAAAGAGAAGGACTCCAACCCTCCCAACACCAGCACTCGATTTCTGACAAAAAATCATGTACTTGCACAAATTTAGCCCGTGCCCACTCTCGCAAGGGTAGAAACGAAATAATCCCCCTAGCAGATCGATACCAACACCATAAATCCCCCCTAGCGCCGGTTGTCAAAGACGATCCATCGTTCCACGGCCAAGAGGTTGTCAAGAGCCAACGACGCGTGCTATGAAAACTGTCGAAGAACGAAAAACTCACACAAATTCCAGTGCCCTCCCTCCTCGTCACTGGCACTTCTAACCTCTTATGGGGCAAATGACCTTCGAACCTCGACCAACAAAGGAGTTCTGGCACGCATCCGCCCACATATACGGTACACTCTCGCTGCAGGAAAGCCTTCATCCCCAGTGCCAAACCAAGACCGGGGGGGGGGGGGGGAGAGACAGTCGGCAAAAAGTAAAAGCGGGGCTGCCCTTCAAAAACAAGTACCGCCGACATCGTGCACGTGTGTGCATCCCTGCATCTCCTATCGGCTCGTCCAAGCCATGCATGCCATTCACAAGCAAGCCTTGTCAAACGAAGCGCTCCACGAAAGAAGAGAGAGTTTCTCGTCACAAAAATCGCTCCACAGATAGAGAAGACGAAAGCCCACGGTCAACGCGAAACAGAAAACACTCAGCATCCTCTGAACACTGCTGAGTGTCCTGAAAAACAAGTTCCTCCCAGCCCTGCGACCTCGATCGCTACAGCAAATACCCTCCCTGTCTTTGCAGCTGAGTGTCCCAGGTGCAACAAACAATCCGCCAGAGCGCTTTGGTACATGCTATGCTATACATGCCTGTGCGCGAGGAACACAAAGAACACACCAACACGAAAACGCGTACACGCCACCGCACACAAGTGCACACAAAGACAGGGCGTGGCAGACACGGCTCGATCCGTTAGGATTATTCTACCTCTCGTGCCTGCCGGCTGCCCCCTACATAATAACCGAACAGTAGACCTTCGCATGCAAAACAGCCTCTCGGTTGACCCCTGACACATCGCCACATATTGATTCGTTGCAACCTGAATTCTCACAACATCATCGATGAAGCACACGCAGATGCATACCCCATCCCTTACAATTTCCCTTTTCAGCAGCTGGGCGCATGATTCGCCAGAAAGTCTTTCATGTGGCAACAGGCCCCGCGCTTGATCGATGAACTCCTCCATGATCTCTCGCGGATCTCGACCATGCTCACAACCATGCAACGTGCTGGTGAAATCGACAACGGGGGGACGTACGGGGGGGGGGGGGGACTCATAGTCGTGCATGCCGTAGTCGTTAGACCGTTGACCTCGCATCCCTACAACGCCGGGACGGAGCATCCGCCAAGTTCTCACCGGACCAGGCTCTCACATCACCAAGCGCGAAGCGGCGTGAGGTATCCGGCGAGTCGCATGAATGGTGCGCTGCATCCTGCTAAGGGTGTTCGGCATCTTGTGCTTGCTTCCTTGCGTACGGATGACAGCTGCGTGTGACTTCATTTATTTTCTGATGCTTTTACTTCCAGAGACAGTTATAAGCACTGTGTAACTGCCTCGAGAGTGCTTGACCAATGTTAACACAACGTGGTGCGATTATCCCCCTTGCGCGGAGTGAGGGTTCTCGACCCCGCAAAACATATCAACTCGACCGCCATTCATGGTTACCGCAAAAAATAAACACAACAAAAACAAAGGCAAGAAAAAAAAAAGGTGCAACCTGGTTGTCGAGCTCACGAAGTGATCGGCTTGTTTTACAACATCGCTCCCAAGCGACGAAAACCCAACCCAGATGGCAAACAGTGGGGGGGGGGGAAGAGGGGGGGGGGGGGATTTGACACCGGGAAATACTATACGGGGCAATCTGTCCAATCGTGGTGCAGAGATTTTGGTTGAATGAACATTCGCGACGCTCTTGCTATCGTGGACTGTTAGATATGCTCGTAGCATAGAATGATTGGTTGAATATGGCGCATGGATCTACGGAGATTATTGTTGGTAGATTGCCGGGGAACAGGGAGTTTCTACTTGGATTCTTCGAAGATTCGATGAGTGACGGGAATTGAGTGACGGATGGATGTGTTTATGCGCTCCTCTCTGATGGTGGGACTCCGGTTTCCACTCCCCTCTTATAAATACAAGACTTTCCCATCTCGGCCGTCACTGGCCGAGCTGCCTTTCTCCACAAAATTACAAGCCTCGGCCTACCCGGTTTACCCAACATACACAATCACAATTCCTATTCTGTGTGGTGCAACTCGCTACAGGATGTTATGAAAAAATACAACACTATCAACAGTTTTCTGCCTACTAGACACCACTCACAGCGCTCGCAAGGCACACCTGTCCAAGACCATCTCCTGTAGCTTCACCCTACCCTCGGCTTGCGTGTTCCTCCCGCCTCGCCCCGTCGCCTTTCCCTGTCGTGCGCGGTTTATTTGGATCTCCTGCTGCTGCCGCTGCTGCTGTTGATGCTGCTGCTACTTTTCCCCTTCCGGAGAGTCGCCGACCCACCCGCACCCACCACAACCGCTTCGCCGGGGCCCTCCCGCCACTGCACATGTCGTCTGAAGCCCGTCGCATCGGCGTGAAGGTTCTCCCGTTGATCCGGCACCTCCGAGCGCGTGGGAATTTTCCTTGAAGACGGTAGGGGCGGCGCCGGCGGCCAGTTGTTTTCCTCAACGGAGACGGACTTGAAGCCTGTTGAGTGCGGAGAGAGGGCTTCTTTCGGGAGGCCGGTGCCGTCGAATATCGATTTCGCGACGCCAATGCTTAAGGAACCGTCGTAGTCCGGTGGCGGGGACACTTCTGGAGAGGGCGGCCGTACTTCGGCATAATCTGGTGGTGGGGGATAATACGGTGGCGGGGCATAAACCGGTGGTGGTGGGGCATAAACCGGTGGTGGGGCATAAACCGGTGGAGGGGGGGCATAAACCGGTGGTGGGGACACCTTTGGCGAGGGCGACCGTACTTTATGGGCAGGCGCCGTCTCCGTCCTTCGCTTATTGCTGGAGTCGCTAACGCCGCGTGTCACGGTATCAGAGTCGAAGCCCTTTGTTTCCTGCGGAGCGATCATGTTGTCAGAGATCACTTTGCTTTGCTTTGCTGGAGTCGAACATGGCGCCGACGGTGCCGATGGTGTTCGCCTATGCCGGTTGGGCCTCTGAGCAGGCGTCCCCTTTGGTTTAACCCTATCGGATGCATTAGACCGAGAGCGTCTCACCCGGAACACGACATGTTTCTTTTCGCCGCCGCCCGTTGCCTTGCGCCCCGTGTCCGTCGATGAAGAAGGGGGCCCGAGCTTCGGTGGACTAGGTATTGAAGCGAGGTCGCTGCGGTTCGATGGACTAGGTATTGGAGTGCGTTCACAGATCCTCCGCGATGCAGCCGTCGCAGGAAAGAACACACCCTCGAGGGAAGACGGTGCACTCGAACAAGAAGTAGGCGCTGGATAACTCTGAGGAATGGCCAGGCGAGGTTTACTGTTCGTTGCGGCTACGACGCGCGCTCCTTCCGCCACCTTGATGGAGCTGAACCCTTTCGCGCGGAAAACCTTCTCGTTGAACACCTTCGGTCCTACAGCGCCCTCAGCGGCAGTGGATACTGCTGTTGTTGATGGCGACACGACCGGCGCTGGGCGCTTCATGATGTCCTGCCACTCGAGTTGACCGCCGCTGCTGCTACTGCTGCCGCTGCTGCTGCTACTGCTGCTACTGCTGCCGCTGCTGCTGCTGCTGCTGCTGCTGTTGCTGTTGCCAGGCATTTTGTTGCGGAGGCGAAGGCTCATCTTGTTGCTATTGCCACCGTCTTGCCACCTCTTGCACTGGAAACTAAGCCCCGCAATCGTCCCGGCTGGGGGGACTGGGCAGCAGGGGCAACGCTTTGCGGGAATGCAACTCGAGCTCTCAAACTTTCCCCGCGAAATTCGCAGAAGAAGCGTACAGAGATGGAGACATGCACGGTCGGCAGTCGCAAGCGGTTGGACGAAAACCGCGGACCACGCAACCAACTAAACTCCGGTGTACTTGTCGCATCACTTTACACTGCTGTGTTGTTGCTGTCGCTTGTGTTTTCATCTGCATGAAGGGATTTTGCCTAGACGACCTCGTCTTGGAACAGGAAGTCCTAGCATGCTCCCCCCCTGCTCCTACCATAGCCACCTGCTCCCAACTGTTGCTCAGACCGCTGCTGTACCAAATCGCCAATCGTCTCGCTTTCCATTCTTCTCGCCGCCTCCATGGCGGGACTGTCGGCTGGACTGTACGAACAAACAATCTACAGGCAGTTGATTGCTGCGCGTGCGTGTGCGTGAGGAGTGAGGCGTGAGGTGTGTGAGGAGAGAGGAGAGAGGAGAGAGGACCAAGTCGGAGATTACAGCAGCCAAGGACCCTGCTGTTCATCATCAAGAGCCGGCGTCGGTACCCATGCAACATTCGACGACAATTGTTGGTGGAAGAAGAGGTGAGTGTTCGAATAAGTATTTTCTCCAGTTCGTGCTTGGTTCGTCGCCAGTTCTTGTTCTTTTTGCGACCAGCTGCTTTGTGGTGACGACGTGACGACACACGCGCCCGCAGGTATGTGCGTCAGTATGCGTACTGCTGCATTCTCAAATACTCGGGTTCCACCCCCTTCACAACGAGTAGCGAAGAACGATAAGCAGAGCATTGAAGACGAGAGAGATGAGCCCCTACAGGTGAGGGTGGTTGGGTAGCTTCCGTAAAACGTGTGTCCCTTCCGATCGCGTTCGATAGGACCTCTGAGGTACCTGGTGGTGTCTGGTGTGCCAAACAAACGGCTTGCGCGGAAGCCGCGAGAGAGCAGTGACGAAACCTGTGCGCCAAAGCGCCAAAGCCCCACGAAAGATTATGGTTGAATGACGATGGTTGAAGGTTCAGAGAGGAAGTTGGATACGCAGTTGGATGGTACACACATGTGGGGGTTTCAAAGCCGGTTCCTTTGTACGACAACAACAGAAGCAGCAGTACAGGAAGATAGAGTTACTTCCTACGTGCGTGCTTAGCGCGGTGCCGCACCCGCGCAAGCGACACCGAAAACACAGGTTCGGATTTTTGGACAACAATAATAGTAAGATCCCGCGCGGGATCGGACCTCGTTCGTCTGTAGCACAACTCCGAATCCTCCGTCTACGCTATATATCGTAGCTTAGCAATAACGTGTGTTCAATCCAGGAGCCTTGCTGGCAAGTAGTAGTGCTGATGATAAGTGGGTAGAGGGCGGTGGTTCCTACGAGCGGACTATATAATATTAGTCCACGGAAGAGAGAGGGCCCGTCTACGTCCGCCTATGTGGTGGGTGTCATGTTCTGACACGCGTCTTTGGCTCTCATACCTTTCAGAACGAACTTCTGAGCGACCCGACAGAGGTCAGACCGTGGACTGTAGACGAAACGGTTTGGAACGTCAGGACCGTTCCCAGTCTGTAACAGCAGTCTCCAGCATTTTACAATCTGGAGAGCTGAGCTCCTGTCCGAAGCTGCTGTGGTGTTGCCATCAACCTGGGTAGACCATTATTATGTTTCCGTCTCGATTTTTACGGAGGAAGTAAAGCACGTCCGTCTTTCGAGACAAGTACTACAGCAGTTGTAGTGGCGAGATTGTTCCTTGCCAGCAAAATCATCAAAGAAGTTGCTGCCAAAGTAACCCAACACGACCCGACCCGACTCGACCCGACCCAACTCGATCCCGTTGTTCGGAAAACAAGCAAGTACAAGAAGCTCAAGAAAAGGCTAAAAGATGCCAAGGCGCTCAAGAAGAAGATAATGGGTGAATCCGTAGCATCCACTTCGAGCTCTGAGAAAAAGAAGGTATACGTCATGAGATGATTCTCGTTGCTGTGCAGAAGGATGGTTTATTCTCCTCATCTGATATTTTATCTTTTTTCTCGGGCGTGCCTTACACTATACTACTGTAGGCAAGAGTATAGTCGTATCTGCTGAGGCTAGGGCGTCCAAATTTGGACCGCCTTCGCGAGAAATGCAATTTATGAGGAAACACAGCAGGGAGGGGATACGCAGACCCTATCCCTATCCCTAATCCTAACCCTAACCCAACTTCCCCGGTTGCATGCTTTACCCAACATGTAGTCCGACTTGTATATTTACGTACACTGCTGTTGTAGAAAAACCCTTCGAAGGCTACTGGGACGTACCCAAATTTACCGAAAGGAATGAAACGAATGTACATAGTACATTGAGGGAGGAACAGACACACACCTGTCGAAAAATGAATCATCGGCACCGTAGAAAGGCTGCAGATTCCCCACCCAGCATGATTCGAGCTTCGATACTGCGTACAAGCATTTACATTGCCCATTCTTGGCCGCAAACTTGATGCTAACAAACAGAGGAATCGTAGTGTCGAGATTCGACAACCTGCCACAACGACAACAAGCAGTGGCGGAACAATTGCGCCCAGCACATCAAGATCAATACCTTCATGTGAAACCGCTACATTGAGATTGGAAGACGGGCCACAATCAGCCGGGTACTGCATGCTGTCGATTTTCCAATCCAATCTAGTCCAATCAATCTAGATTGTTGCATCTTTCTCAAAAACGAAAAGGTGAAGAAGAAGATCAAGAAGTTGTCTACGAAGACCAAGTCCATGAAGCTCGACGGCCACGCGAGTTCGTCCAGCTGGCGCATCCACGGCTCCGGAGGGGAGTCGAGCGACTCGTGCTCTAGCCAGAGCTCCGACTCGGAGTGGGGAGGTTCTGACTGGGGATCCGACTCTGATTCCAGTTCGGATGGGGGTTGTTCGGATGGCGGAGGTTCCGGCGATGATGGTGGAGGATCGGACTAATAGGGTCAGCTAGAGTATATACAAGCCTATACATGGAGCCCTCTACTCTGGGTGAGCGCGCCTGTGTGGGCTTCCTGAATCTCCATTTCCTGATCTCCACATATAAGAGCATAGATAATGGCGTGCCAGTGGTTTTCAGGAGCTCGGCAACTGCGTTGGCGATGACGAGAGGGGAAGAAAAAATGTAATTATTTGAACCGAAAAAAAAATAAGGTTTTTCGCTGGCGAGGTGGTGCGTTTCCATGTGGGACGACCGTTGTTGCCAATGGCCTCTGAAATCGTCAGCGCTTGGTCTCTCCAATGATGAGATTCACGGCATACCAGAAGTTACGAAAACGTAGCGAGCGCTCTCGAGTAGGTTCTGCCTCGTGTAAAACGTCCACTTGACTTTGGGTTATTGCATGAGGAGGATGAAGGCAGCCGAAGCCTCCGTCGAGGGAGGTGTACAGTTTTTTCGCTAATCGATTAGGTGGCCCGGTGTGGGTTAGGAGATATTCGGGTTGTTAGCGGCTACATCCGTCCAAGTAAATAGTACATAGACCGGTCTTCTAGCATGAAACACAAGGTTGAGATAAGGGTGTGGCGTGCTATCGGGGTGGTACCAACGTGGGGTCTGCCCCCGCTTCTTTTCTTCTGTGAAGCCAGTGTCGCTGGAGCGTTACCCTTAGTGAATATGGCCCAAGCCGCCATCGCGGACCGTCGTAGCTGTGTTTCATCGAAGAAGGCTCAGCCCCAAGCAGAAAGTACCCTAGGGGGCATCGAAAACGAATTATGCGAATGTACACGCCATCTCGAGCGCCCAACGATTCCCCATGTCGTCTCCGCTCCTCGCTGCCACAACCACAACAGTAGCTGCCCGCTATCAGAAACGCTACGTCAGGGAGAGGCTTTACACCTTGCCCAGGGTGATCGATAGAGAGATCTCGCTCTCGTATTCCCCGATTCCTCCAGCGTGCTAAAATACGGAACGCACAGAAAGGGACGGTTTCTTGTTTGCCTCCAGTGTGGTCGTCCGGTTACCCACATACAAGGTACACGGCGGCGTGGTAACATGCCCGGTTCCATGCCTGCTGCTGTACTACTCGGAAAGTGAAACACCTCCGCTCCTGCCGTTTGAAGAGGGCTCGTTGGGGACCCCCCCGAACGACTCGCTCTAGAATAACCTCGAGATCGAGCAACACCCCAGCACCGGCTTCTGCGTCCACATGTATCTGTACTTCCTTCAGGCCCGGCGGACTCACATGCTTGCTGTTTGCTGCTTTCCTGCGGTAGGATGTTTCTTGTCTTGTAATAATCTTGTATTTTGAGAGAAGCTCGATTTTTTTGTCTCACCACCGTAACCTCGTTTTAGCTCTTTTTGAGAGCGAAACCGCTACTGCCCGCGCCCAATGAAGCCTATAGCTTTTCGTCGCTCGGCGCCTCGGAACTGATGCCACAAAGGCCTCACGTGCACCCTACCCCGCGCCCTCTCCCCCACGGGGCATTGGAGTAGATAACAGCACTCAGTTGATCCTGGTCCTCGATGGCTGACTTAGAAAACCTCGAAATAATATTGGTCGCCCTTAGCACAGGCGTCCGTGAACTCATTTTTTTTTTTTTGTGTCTTCACTTCAAATCAGCGCTCACAGCACTAGTGCCGTTTACTCCAACCCGTGGTCACACAGAAGGGCCCCTCTCTACCTTCCCCTCCTACGGTACTTTGCCTTCGATTTTTAATGCGAGAGGAGTTCAGCACTCTCTTCCCTCTGTGTACACACGAACTAGCGCTATCCACTAGGCCAGGAGCGGAAGCGAGAGAAAAACTCACTTTGCAAGAAAAGCTCGCTTACGCCGGGATTCGAACCCCTGACCTGACCTCTAGAAGGTTCCGAGGTTACCAACTAGACCACCGGGGCGACCGGCATAGTCTAGCATAGAGTACTCCGAACGGGCCAGAAACCGATAAAACCAGGCCTTCGGACGTATGATCAACCGGAACCGACTAGGTTTCACCAATTTTTTCGTCGTGTTGGGTAGAGGGCGTGCTTTCCGTCAGAGGTTGCGGAGAAAAGGTTGACTCAGAAGGACCTTGATACAACATCTTAACCATGAAAGGCAGAAGGGGGATCGCCGTTCTACAAGCACTTGCCAACAGATACACGAAAACCCCTAGTTCTCCGTAGATCCGTATCTAGTGCTGAGTACACATAACACGTCGAAAAGCCCTGCTTGTCACACCGCAAAGCAAGAGTCGAAAAAGCTGGAAACATGCTAGAAACCTCTCCGGCAGTCAAGCCCATGCACAAACCTGGATACCAAAACGGAATACACAAAACCCCTCTTACTTATTGGGACTTAAAAGTACAGGAGCTCATACCGAACTACGTGTTACCATCTGACCGTCTCTCCCTGCCTTGAACGTGTCATGTATGGGGGGAAACCGTAGAGCACCCTGGCACAACCTATATACTTCTGTTGATATTTTCCTCTCGTCCGCGTGAGTTCAGCAAACACATGCACACCGACAACAAAACCGATTTCGATCAAACCTAGCTTGGGGACCAACCGCAGAGAGGGGTCTCCACACATGAACAAACGACTAACGCCTCCCCCGCTCCCCGAATCATAATGGTGGTCGAGTAGATTATGTTGTGCGGGTTCGAGAACCCTCACTCCACGCAAAGGGGATGATCGCACCACGTTGTGTTAAGTTGGTCAAGCACCCTCGAGGCAGTTACACAGAGTGTTTAAAACTGTCTCTAGAAGTGAAAGCACCAGAAGATAAAACTTCGAAGTAAGTCATTGGCAGCTGTCATCCATATGCAAGGAAGTAAGCACCAGATGCCGAACACCCTTAGCAGGATGCAGCGCACCCTCCATGCCACTCGCCGAATACCTCACGGCACTTCGCGCTTGGTGAGAACCTTGTCCGGTGAGAACCTTTGAGTGCTCCGTCCCGGCATTTTAGGGATGGGAGGTCAATGGTCTAACGACTACGGCATGCACGACTATGAGTACCCCCCCCTCCGGAAAGAAAAACACACCGCCGGAGAAAAGATCAAGTAAAGTTGATGAGGCCACGCTGATTCGTTGACACAAAAAGTTCATCGACGTTCAAGACCGAAGACTTCAAAAAACAAATCAGTCATCCTCCGCTTCCGAGGACGAAGACGAGCTGGACCCATCACCTCCAAGCCCAAACGAGTGCGCCATCTTCGAGAGCGATATATCAGAGTCCATTCCGAGAGATCCCAACATCCCCTTGATGGACTTGTGTGTGTGCGTCATTGGTAGTGTTCGGTCGCAAACGTTTGATTTGGGTTGGGATAGGTTGGAGCCACCATTCACCGCGGAGGGGTTGCGTCCGCCAACGTACGCCGGCCGGGTGTTCCGGGGAATGCGTTCGCGTGTCCGTCCCAGCATGTGTTCCCCCGGGACGGTGGCGTGTAGAAAAAGGCGGACGAACCAAGTGACGAGGAAACGCACGGAAACATGAACGAAACGGCGGCACGAGTTAGTCCCGGGAAAAAACACACACAAAAAAAACTAGTCGTCCATGAACTGCGTATGTTTACCGAAGCAGCTGTGGGTTCAGACTATCATTTCTACGTGCGTGCTCCTGCACTGGGTAAATAAAACCTTGACGGGCCTCGGAAAAAACAGTCAAACGATAAAAGACACTGCCAACGGAGTAGTTTTTCGCTTGGGTTTCTCGCACAGGTGCTGAAAAGAGTGCGATGGCCCACCCCATTACTCGCGACAGAATAATAGCCCGCGATCCCAGGACGGCCACCTTTTCCGTAGCCGACGGCACTCACGTCCATCATGTCGCCATCGTCATCCGAACTCGACGAGGAGCTCGATTCGCCACCGTCGCCACCACCGATGCCGCCCATGATATCGCTCACGGCGTGGGAACCGCCGCCGGAGGAGGAGGAGCCGTGGGTAGTGCTGCCGTACTTTTTCTTCTTCTTCTTCTTCTTCTTGTGCTTCTTGTACTGGCTGCGACGGAGTCGCACGGTTAACAAGAAGATGAGTTTTGTGAGTGGGGCCGTCTTCAACCGAGAGGGTGCGGCCAGAAAAAATAAGGCGTGCACGCAATGTTTGGACTGCGCTTGACTTCAATCGAACACGGAGATACAGATGTAGAGGATTGCGTGCTGTTGCAAGCATAACCCATCTGTTATGTAGTGGTGTGTCTGTGTCGCGTGTTTCGCCCCACCGAACTAGCCACCAGTCCACACAACACCCGGTGTATGTATCATGGCTTATCGTGCTTTAATATCCTGTTAGCACGATTTTTTAGCCCCAGCTTTCCTCCAGCGGCAATATCTTATGTTTTATTGGGAGAAGGGTTCATTCAGCCGTCTCTTTCGATCGTCAAGTCGATATCCTCGTTTATTCTCTCTAGGTTTCCTCCAAAACGATACTCGAGAACCTAGCAAAAATAGAGCCCAAAACTGGTTGCGAAGTTCATCACGAAATTCTCACACCGAGTAGTTGCCGCCATCCCCAACTGGTGTTGTAAATGGTAGTTGTAGTTGTACTCACACCGGCAAGCGTTTCCGACTGGGGGGGCTGGGGGGGGGTGTACTCTTATGGTTTGCATGCCTTACCGGTTAGACCATTGACCACGCGTCCTCGAGAGGACGAGCATTGTTCCCACAGGACCGGTCACCGATGGCCAATCGTCTTTCCTACTTTGCCAAAGGTTGCTCAAAAATGTCTTCCCTAGTCTGTCTATCCTAACGATATCCCTTCCCGCCTTTTCAAACCACGTCCTACTCCCCAGTACAGCTACCGTCCTCTCCTCTCTATTCCATGCCTAAAACATCTCCCTGTACCTCCCTTGTATTTTTCCCAGCTCAGTCATGTACACTCCCCTCTCCTTCTTGTACAACTGACATTCCGCGACTACATGAACACGGTCTTCGCATTTGAAGCCGCAATCACATTTGAACTTGTCGTCTTCGTCGTCTACCGTCCTATGTCTTTGTCGACGTTCTCGAAGGCCTACGTCCCCGGTCCTGAATTTGACCTTAAGCTTTGTCCCTGCACCCATTGGTCCATGTAGGTAATCCTTGAACCCTGTTCCTTCATTCAATATTCACTTCTAGACCCTCCTCATCCTCGGCTTCTTTCCTTAGATTATGTTCTTCTCTCTCGGCACAAGCAACAGATGTATTCTCCTTGAACCCCTTTAGACCCTCCGTTTCCAGCGTTTCATCTTCGTCGATGTCGAACCCCTTCCATACGTCCTCTAGAACCTTGACCCATTCCGTGGGTTGTCTACCCCTCTTTTTGTTTGCCAACTTCGCCTCCCATACTATTCTCGGGATGGGGGGGTTGGGGGGGGGGCGATAGAACAGAGAGAGAAGAGGCGATTTTATCCTGGCAGAGCCTCGCCGTCGATAGTTGGCGACACTTGACTACCGTAGGTTGAATAGGATACCCCACACCCTGGACGGATTTCCTAAGCTCGACTACTCCACGACATACAGCATGCCAATACCAAATGAAACGTGTTCGGAAAGCTCTCGACGAGACGGATCCAATGCCACAATTTTCGGCACCGCCACTGATTTGAATGAACAGCGGTCCAGGGGGTGTGGTATCTCATGCAACCTATGGTATATGAGAAATATGAGCAAAGCGCATACTCCGGAGTAGGTATGATTCCTTGGGTATTTGGCGACACACTTGAAAAGGGGTACCGCAGACGCAACCACTCGCCGTCTTGGCAACAAAGCACACGGAGGAGGAGGGGCTTGAGGGACATTAAAGCAACACTCCCGCTGGTGCTGGTGCTGGTGCTGGTGCTGCTGTTCCTCTAGTTCCCATCACGACAGAGAGGCGCAATAGTATTGACCAGAGCGGGTCATTACTGCTGTAGTGGCACATCAGCAGCATCAACCCTCATTCGTTTAAAGAGCGCGAGGCTGTGTTCTCATGGTCGCCAGACGCTCACTTACTCACAACAACAGGAGTCTGGCACACTCGTGCAGTGGCACAACAAATCACCTACATAGACCGCAAACTCCCTGCTGTTGTTGTTGTTTGTGGTATGGCAAAGACGACTGCGAGAGAAAGATACTCTTGATTTCTTACCGTTGGGATTTACGAGGGTCTTTGCACTTGCGCACATCACAAGCGGCAGCACACCGCTCAATCTGTAATGAAGATAAAAAATCGCCGACATTTCCTTGGGCACTCTCTCGGCGATGTCAATCGTCAAAGCCACATGAAGCCAGTTGTGACGAGATTTCTCATGCAGTGCATATGTAACGGCAAGACGAGCAATATATCCTGAGGCGCAAGTCGCTATCATAAGCAGATGAGGAGCAACGAACCCCCGACCCCGAGATGCGGTATGTATCTTTCCACCTACCTGTAAGCCATCTTCACCGCTTTCATGGCATTTTTCTTGAGGTCTGCGTGCTTGTCAGCATGCTCGTCCTTCTTGGGCTTGGGGCTCTCAGCGGCGGCAGCACCAACGCCGTGAGACATCTTCCCGGCGCCCAGCCCTTCTCCCATCACAGCTTCGCCGGGGACAGCTGCAGCAACCCCGGCGCCCGCACCGTCGCCTTTATGGGCAGGTGACGTTCCGACTGGCACCGAAGATGTTGTTCCACCTGGTGTCACCGCAGCATCAGCGACGGGCTCGCTACCAGTGGCTGGCGACGATGCAACCATTGCTGGAGCAGCAGTCCCGCTCACCGCAGTAGTCTCTCCCTTGGCCACAGCCTCGGCCACACCGCCGCTGCTACTCACGGCAGGATCAACAGCCGACGATGCAGCTTCGGCCGCGCCCACGGCTACCGGGGGCGTGGTGTCTGCTGATGGGTCCATTGTTTTTCCAAGGACGTACAGTATATCTACCGTATTTACCCCCCCTCTCGCCTATATCAGAGGTATTTGATCTTGGAGCGTGCCCCGCTCAGCTGTTGCTGGATGCTTGTCTGAAAAAAGATGTGTCAACCAACCTTTGGGCCTGCCAGCCGGTACCCCGGCGCCGGCACCGTGGAAGCCAGCACGCCAGCACGCCTCTTTCTATAAATGTGTGCATTCGAAGGCGGAGATGACGGAGATGCGGCGGATTAACTCGAAGTACAACCAAACTTCGGCCCTCGGGTGCAAGTGCAAATCACGGCAACCCTCTGCCGTTTTCTGGCGTCAATTCCGTAGGGCAACGACGAGGCGATCCACCCCACACGCCAACCACGAGGTAACGGTCAACGAAATGCTCGCGGGTCATCAGGTGAGAGTAGAGATAAAAATGCCGAGGGTAAAAGTCGACCCTCTTCAGACGTGCATACAGCAGTCGTCTGCTGCTGCTGCTGCTGCTGTTGCGGCAGTCTCCCAACTGAACTCGAAAAGATTCTGGTGGAAATCAGGCGGCATGGAGATGCCTCCGCGCTACTGCTGTCCAATGGTCGATCCCGGGATTCGCGCGAGGTTCCCAACAAGAGGGCTTCCTCAAGTCCATCACACTGGGGCAGCGTCCGCAAGAGATTTGAACCAACACCCGTAGGTAGCGTCGTGAGGCATTTTGCACATGCACAACATACATTTTCGTGGAGCCCCCGGCGGCAGGTGCAAAAGTACGTACACATAGCGTACCCGCCGTGATATTTCGCCCTTTTTCGTACAAGGGCCTGTAGCGTTTTTCCTAGCTGCTCTCTAAGACGGCACGTTGCAGCTACAGCAGCACGTGCCCAGCTTGATCGCTTTGTCGCGGAGCAACCAGTGTTGGGAGACAAAAACTCCGCGCGCCTACATATGTATGTACAATGTACAATCATCTGTTGAGCTTTGGATATTGCTCATAGCATCGGAGATCTTCAGGGCCGCGCCAGGGATGCATGTCAGCGCGCACCTGAGGATCCGTTGGCCCGTTGAAGCCGGATGTGGACCCCCACCTTACCTTGCGGTTCAGATGTAGTCATGAGGCCCACGTATTTCCGTTTGAAAAGCAGCACAAGCTCGTGGCCGTTTTGCGTCGTGGGCGCGGAGGGTGTTTTTTTCCGGCCGGACTGCAAGTTGTGCTGTGGGGTCCCGAGCTACAGTACGAATCTCTAGGCCATCACCCCAACAAAGTATTTGGCTTGCATCAATCGCATCAACCGGCCCAAGTGTCCACTAGCAGGACGAGTTCCCTGACTGCTGTCGTTCTCACACTCATTGAGAGGTGTGCCACCCATACGCCAGCAGTGTCTCGTACGACACACACAGCGGTGTAGTCGGTGTCGCGGTGGCCCTCGAAGATTCGGCCTCGGTCTAATAGCAAGTTAAGCCTCGCGGGTGTTTCCCACCTTTCGCCACTTACATCTGCATACAGCAGGTGCTTTCGGAGGCTGCGGCTGCTGCCGGGGGCACGCGGTGCTGCAGGCGAGAAGACGACCTTAAGCCCGGCGGCCACGGCGGCTTGACGAAACACCGCTTTCTAGACCAACGCCAACGGCTCAAGGTGCCAAAAGGCATGATGGCGATGGGCGTCCGCAGCAAGGACAGAGGCCAAACCAGCGGTGGTGCGTCCAGAGCAACCTCGACCACTTCAACAGGGAACAACAACAACGGCACTCATCAACAAGAAACGACACCGAAGAGAAGCGCGGCCACCGAGTTCATTGGCGTTATTCGGGCCCTGCTCTGGCTCTCCCCCTCTCCCCACCACGCTGCTCCAGCTCCGGCGGCGGCGGCTTCACCGGTGGCAGCAGCGGCAGCACCGATGGCAGCAGCGACCACCGCGGGAATGGCGGTGATTGCCCAGGCCAACGAGGTGAAGATGGCGGAAATCAATGCCGACAAACCACGAAAGCGACAGCAGTGGCGGCCACGGACGGCCTTGGATGTCAGCGGACACTCCTTCGCCAAGCCGGTGCAGGTGAAACTGCTGATGTTGGTCTATGTGGTCGGGCAGGAAGGAGCTCTGCGGTTGATATTTTGCTGGGAGGTGTGCTTGTGCGTAGTCGAAACGTCTTCGGTATGGTGGGCAGATGCCGCAGAGTACATGGCTGCTTGTCTTTGTTTCCATTTGTTGTACATGCTTCCCCTGAACACGCACAGCTCTCTACTTGTTCGTGGTTTGTTATGCTCTTTTTCTTGCTTGGAGCTCCATCTCATCGGTTGAACGGTGGATATCCGTAAGCTTCTTTCTAGTGTACGTTTGATGATGCATTCGGGGATTTACACCCTGTTGTACGCCGCTATGCTAATATCGATTCGTTTGTTAACGTGTATACATCTGTCATGGCCGTTCTCTACTCGATGGGTAGCTCCACGTATTAATCTAGAGCTCACAACGAATGAGATTGTCTCGTACCTTGCAATGGCTCTCTCTTCGGATGTGTGTGTCGCTCTCCGTTCACCCTTTAGTGTGTACTCCTATTTAGGTTTCAGGCGTACGGGCTTCTTCCACAGCAACAAGACCAAGGCATGATCTCGCCCAAGCACACGCGTTATTCGAAACAACAACAGTGTTCATTGCTGCACACTGACTGCACGCACGCTCCCATAACTACCTGTGTTCAGCAAATAAATATCAGAACTGAGCAGTCCCTAGATAAACTCTCAGCCTCTTGTCTTCGTTTTTTTTACACATGCCACCCGCCGCCTCCCGCCTTCGGCCGCCCCTCATTCCACCCAGGCGAAGATTGAACGCACCAAGAGCCTGCGACGGCGACCGGCGGTGGTGCCCGAGTCCTCCGATGTTTCAACCGCGTCTTATTCCCCCGCACTCGCATCCCAGAAGCCGACGTTTTGGGACTTCCCGGAGGGCCGTACGGAAGATGACACCCACCGCCCGGGTGGTGGGCGCTGGTGGACGCAACGAGAAAGAGGAGAAGCAGTGTCAGACGAACACGCGTCGTCGCTGCGTTCAGTGCGCGCGTGCTCCTCCGCCTCGACGTTGCCTCCCTCTCCCGTGGGGGGCACCGCCGCCACCGCCGCCGCCGGTCCCCCTGATGCTGCCCCTAACCAGCCGCGATCGGAGCTGCCTCCCCTCGCTCCCAAAAATGGGTGCAGGAAATACAGCAGCAGCAGCAGGAGGTGTTCGCGGCAGTTGCCTAGGAGCGTATACGTCGTGTGAGGCTTGGTCGGGACTGTCGCTTAAGCTTTGGTTCTAGATATGATGCGCATACCATAGGTAGTGGAATGGGATCGACGTTAGTCTGCGTTATCTTTCTTTTTTTCCTTCCATCAGCAGCTCGGATGACCGTGCCGTTCCTATGATACACTATACTTCGAAGTAAAATATATAGGAGCACAGTCAGAGGTTGTTTTTTCGTGTCGGTCGGTTCATTTTTTTATGCAATTTTGCAGTACCCCCCCTTCTTCTGTGGTTCGAATTGTTGTGTGAGCTTGGCGACGTTCTGTCGCTTCGACGGTTCATTGCTCGTGGGGGCAGTACGTGAGTGCAGGCAGACAAGTCTAGTCTGCCTGTAGTGAGATGGGGGTTAGAGGCACGCGAGGCACCTGGCTGATGGCCTGATCGCGTTCCGATCATCCACTCTTCTTTGTCTTTTTACTCCTCCTATCTGTGCCATGCGTGTGTATGTTTGTGTGTGTGTGCGTGCGTATAACCAAATACAAACAAAACCCGGAAACTTCCTCTCTCTCTCCTTGTGGCTCCCCATGTCGGGGACAGATAATAAAAGATGGAAGGGCGCATACTGCCAACAGATCCACAGTAACTTCAAGCATGAAATGTTGTGCGTATTGTATGCATGTGTATGTATGTATGTGTGTGCCCTGGACGGTCGAAGCGACGAGTGTTCTATGATTGATTATAGATGACACGAGACTTTTTTTTTGGAGGTGGTTTGTATCTGATCGTCGTCGTCCCCGTTACCATGTAACGGGGCACCGCATCTCTCTGAATCTGCTATCTATGTAGGTGGGGGGTGGTGGAGAAATATTTAACGTGACGTTGATTGAAGAGCATCCATAGGTAGGTAGGTTCGTCTTGTTGCCAGAGGATGAATAGGAGGATAGATCGTTCATCGGACGGGAAATCGGCTATTTGCTTGCCCCACAGGGTAGGCCGCCTTTCTTCCCGTCTTGTATACTTGGAAGGTTTGCAATGAACGGCTTCTCTCTAATAACAAGTTGTTTTTCTTCGGTGAGAAGATTAAACAATTTCAATCTTGCCAGGGTCCATAATCAGCAATCAATGTCTTGCAACTCATTACGCGGGCAAGAAAAATCCAGTCAGGGTAATGATGCGAGCGGCAAGGAGCCTGATGACCATCCACGTGCACAAGGTAAGCGTCCTTAGACGGTCGGTCTGTACACGCATGTGTTGTCAGCAATTACATGATGACGGTGAAAGACATCATGGATGAATGCGTCATGCAAGACGTTCTCTCATTATAGTTAGGCTCGGAGCCCGGCAGAGATGAGAGCCATGAGAGCGCCCAATGCACTCAGGAACCAAGGAGAGCTTCAAGCTCGATTGCATGTCGATTGAACATCTCCATTCCCATCATGTTCGATGTGGTCACCATCATGTTCGATGTGGTTATGCCGCACCCCTTCTGCGACAACCACCGAAGGAGTCTCTCGAGTGTGAAAAAGTTATCTCATCATGAACAAAGCACAGGTTGTGCGTTCCGCAAAGTCAGGGTACAAACCAGTATTTCTCTTCCCCCCGCGATACAACAACCGCTCTCAGTACACACACCCATCGCACACCACAGCAGTCATCCTGCGCGAGATTCCGTACCATCTCCAGCGGAGACCTGCACTCAATCAGGTGGTGATCCAACACCGCCGCCGCAGGAAGCAGCATGAAACAAGGACAACACACATCCGTCCAGAACAACACCGAAAAAGCCAAGACGCACCCGACGAACAGCGGCCACAGCAGTTACACAAGGTTCTCCTCTGTCGTTCCGGGAGATTTTTTCTCTTCCCGAGAGGAGATGGAATGGATGCCACCAGGCGGGGCGCTTCGCTTGGCGAATGACTTGATGCGTGGCGCAAGCAACAACAACCACACCAGCGTGGACGCCGACCGACAGGGGTGACAGTTTGATACACAGCGACACCCAACTGGCATGGCCAGGGTCGGGATTATACACAGACGCCCACAGCACCCCATAATCGACATGTTCTGGGACATGCCGCAACCGCGTTTGCCGGGGCACAGCTGCGGCACCGCTGAAACTAGGAGCACACCCGACAGGGAGCAGACAAGAAAAGCGTACACGAACGGACAACTCAACAAACGGGGCCAGTGTCTGGCCTAGTCCCTCTCGCCCAACCCTCACCCCGCACCACTTGCGTAACGAGTCAACACAACAAAACACAACACCAAAAATTACTTCCAACATTTTCCTGAACCTACTACAGCAGTATATGGCTGAGCGTTTTGGCAACACGTGCGCCTTGGCCACTAAAGCAACAAGTGGCATGTGCGCCGACGCATTTGTCCTTTGCTTGTGAAGAGATACGGCATTGTAGCCCCACGTGGTACATGGCGGATGTACCACTTTCACGGCCCCCCGGCATTATATCGAGAAAAAGAGCCGAAAGTATTCCGTCTGTATACACGTGTGACGGGATTTCCTAGCAGATGCGGAAGCAAAATGGCGTGATAGCTCTCGGCAGTTGTGAAGAAAGAAAACACCACCCACCCCCCGACAACGATAAAATCCAACACAAGCGGATGGCCGAGGCCCAGTCTAGCGGAGACGCGGTTATAAGCTGCCGCCGCCGCCGCCGCCCCTCCCGCTCCCGATATCGAGCTCCCTACGCCCTGAACGCGCGCGAGCTGATGCACGACAACACCTCGTTCTGTACCGCGCGCCCCCCAAACAACAAAAACCCCGCCGGTTCTCTCCCACCGACAGGGCCGACGCACCGCCGCCTAGTTTCCACGCCCCACCCCTCGCCTTGGTCCGTCAGCCAAGCGCCGCCGGGCGAATCTAGATCTGCCTGAGAAGGATGCCCTCTGCCCCGACACCCGGCGAGAAGGAGAACGCCATACCCGTCTGGTAGCCGGGCTTGCCCTGTGCGAGCGCGGCGTTGTGGCGCTTGAAAACCCTGTGAACCGCCAAGGAAAGAGAAGGGCGCAACAAGCGGAGGCATTTGTTGGGGGAGTCGCAAAGCGAGTGACAGGTTGCTGACAGACTCAAATGTAAACTGCAAGGCTAGGACAAGGCTAGCACGGAGTGAAACAGGTACCTAAACGTGCGGGAGCTCTACCCCCCAGCTTCCCCACCCTCAGTTGTGTGCACAAGCTACATGAGCCGCGGTTTCCTCTCGCATCGACTACTGCTCGTTCCTGACATGTGTATCCCTTTCTGTTCTGTTCCTTCCTCACCTAGACAGAACGAACATAACGGAGGGCGAGAGCATGTTTCCGTACTCCCCGAGCACCGCCCACGAGTCCGCGGTCTGCTCCTCCGAGAGGCCAAGGCCGTTCTGCGCCTCCTCGATGATACGTCGGCCTCCGGGGTGCACGCACCAGAAGTCAACTGCAACGAAGGTTTTCAGGGGAAAGGGGTAGGGTTACGAGTTGATGTCACCACACGCCATTTCACAGGGCTATTTCCAGAAAGGCGCAACTGAAAGGGTGTTCGGCGGAGAGGGGGTGTGGTAACGTTCACAAAGCTCCTCACCGTTTTCCACTGGCTCAAACATAGAGAGCGAGAGGGTGGACGAGTTTTCAAAAATGAAAAGCGGGACTGCGCGATTCGACCAATGAAGAACAAAGGCGTGAAAGCCTTGATTCGGCAATTTCCCCGTGTGTTCTCACCGTCGTCGCGTCCGAGCTTGTGCTTCTTGAGGAAGCCGTCCGCGAAGAAGGCGATGTTCTTGGCGATGTACTGGGGCAGGAACTTGGACAGGGTGCAGGTGATGCCGTTTGGCTTGATAGCAAGGGTGATTCCGTCCTCGGTTCCCTCCATGAGCCACGCGTGGTTGTCGACGATAGCGAGGGTTCCCTGAGAAAACAACAAATGTCGGAACAGAGTACCATGCGAAGGAGAGAAGATTGTCAGCTTTCCGTCTCGTGTCCCAAAACAAGAGCATACATTTTCCTCACAAAACTATTGCTGTTAAGATCGTCAACATTTAGAACGCTGTTAAGATCGTCCATTTAGAACGGGCCAACAACCATTTAGCGGCGCCAACAGCGGAGGCCAGATCCCAAAGGCACAGGTACAGCAGTCCCAACTCCCCCAACTCTCTCGTCACGCACCTTGGGGCACTCCGACTTCCTGGCTCCCTTGAGCACGGCAGCGGCGCATCCGTCGGCGAAGATAGCGTGCAAGATCGCGTCGTTGATGTTGTCGTCAAAGGTCGTGTGCACCGAGGAAAGCTCGACGCAGATCATCAGCGCGTACTTTCCGGGGTTGGCCTGAGAAGAGAGACACAACGAGTGGTAGCAGAGCAGTCCTCACGGGTTAGATATATTTATGTGTAACTGGACGTCTGCTCAATCGTTGAGCTGCTCAGTGCTCAATTGCGGCGAGTGATGCTCCATGTCGATCCCCACCAGGAATAGCATGAAAACAAGGCACCACAATGCATTCGTCATTTAACGCTTGAGTAACAAAACGTCCAGATGGCTCCGTCTCGTCTCCTGGACCTTAAGGAAAAGAAAAAAGGAGCAAACACAAAAACGCCGACACCTCTACAACAACCGGAAAAAAAAAACTCACGGTGACGTAGTCGTTCGCGTTACGGAAACCGTTCATGGCGGCGGCGCAGCCCATGAACCCGATGAGGGTGCGGTCGACGGAGCGGGTCAGGCCGAGGTTCTTGATCAGCTCGCAGTCGAGGCCGGGGCCGAGGAATCCGGTGGAGGAGACCACGACGAGCTTGGAGATGTCCTCGACGTTCAGGCCGGCCTCCTTGATGGCGCGGCGGGCGACGTCGGACACCAGCGGGACGGCCTTCTCCTTGAACTTGTCCAGCCGGACGTCCACGGGCACCTAAGGGAAAAAAAAAAATCCCAAAAAGTAAGGTCGTGGCAAATTAGATAACTGCTGTTGTTGGTCATGTCTCAAACGGGCAAACGGGTAGTTGTCGCTACTGCTGCTGTAAAGGCGAGTATTTCTAAAAATGCTGCCGCAAGGAAAAAAGTAAACGAGAAACCTCGTACAGGGAGCTGGAGACTACAAAAGATCTTTTTGCTGGTTGTCAAAAACAACTGCCGAACAGAGTTCGTCCGAGTACGATCGCAACGGTTCAGGCAATTTTCGGCGGGTGCCTTGTTTCTGGTGTACTTTGCCGCGAGGCCACACAGCAGCAACAACAGTAACAACCATGGCAACCGTGACGCACTCCAATATCCTTCAAAATGACACCATCATGCACACGTAGGAAACGCGAAACACCGGCACCAGAAACGAACAGCAGTACACAGCAGTGCAATGCACGTACTCCATAATCAGAGCTTTCTCATGCACGGGGCACAAAAAAATCACGGCCGACATGTTTCCTCATGATCCAAATGATCTTTTTCCAAGAAAAAGTTAAAAAAAAAAACACGCACACGTCACGGAACAGCGCACACACCTGGTAGCTGCCGTCGGCCGGGTAGAAGAGGGGGTCGCCCTTGGCCGCCCTGCCGGGGGTGAAGTCCGGCACGGCGAAGTAGCGGCTGCCGATGCGCGAGTTGCCGTAGATGCGCTCGAGAACGGGCTTGATGGACTCGAGGCCCGGGCACTTGGAGGCGACGGCGAGGGCCTCGTTCTGCGTGCAGCGGTACTGCGGGTTGCCGATGGCCATCCCGGCGATGACCGGGTATACCGTCTGCTCGTCCTTGGACTTTTTGACCGACTGCAGCACTGTTTTTTTTTTGTGTGTTTACGCACGGCGGAGGTGGTGGCAGAGGAGTCAGCACAGGGGGAGAGCTATGCATATACGACTTGGGGTTGTGGTTTACATTCACGGCAGAAGGAACATGTGATTTGGTGGGCATCATCAATTATTAATTATCTTCTCGTGCATTAGTCCGTGATGCGGGCAGAACAAATCCCTCCTCGCGTGTCGCAGCATCACAGCAGCACAAATCGTGCTCAGGCACTGAAATCGGATTTCCCGGTCCATCTCTCGATACCGCAGCCCTCAGCAGGGAGAGAGCAGGACAAGGAGCGCCTCGCATGCTTCCGATTTTCTGCTACAACAGCAATAGTTTGTGAATATGTGTACACTCGTGAAGCCTGCTACTGTATAGCACCTCTAGGGTGCTCCGGTTTTTCTTTCAAACAACCACCCGAAACTAACTGCTCGGGTGCTGCTTATCCCGTGCCTACAGTTGTGCGGGAAGGGCTCCTGGTTTGGTGTGCGTGCAAGGAGGACGATTGTCCGGGGTGATCGTGTGGCGGTGTCCACACGCGATCAACAACACGAGCAATAAGTGACGCGAGCACAAGAAAAAGCGTACCGCGTATCCCACCTCGTTCTCTAAATAAGAACTCCGCACACATACACTGCAGCCGCGGAGCGAAACCAGCTAAGGCGGTGTACGCGCGGTGGCTGGCTGTTGTAGTGGTAACATGTACAGCAGTAGAGGTGTGCTGACCTCGTGACTTCGTTGAAAACAGGGTGATCAAAGCTACAGTAGATAAACCTCGGACCGGTGCACTCTCCTGCAGAGAGAGGTATGCATATCTCGGAGAGTTTGCGTGCTTGCTGTGTTGGTTTCGAGCCGCATCATCGCTAAAAATCGATCGTGGTGGATATGGCATCACCAGTTTCCAGGCACCTGTGACCGCACCCAGCAAACTGAATATGCTACTACCCCCATGGCCCAGCACATAAGTTTCGAACGCGAACATATCACAAGACGGACTATTTCGGTGCATCCGCGAGCTGCGCCGTGCTGCTACTGCTGTTGACACCAAATACTTTCGGGGATTTGATTTGGGCAACAAAAAATGGATCCCTCCGTTGCTCAACACTTGGACCCCTCCTATCACTATCAACAAACTGTGGCTTGCGCGAACAGAATTGGTGACTGGAGGGACAATGCTTGCCTCATATGAGCACACGCGGCGGCGGTGGGGAGGGCGGCCTGGGCGAAAACTACGTCACTGCCACAACCACACCCGACCGACTCATCGACAACAGCTTGTTGCGGGATACACAGCAGTTCCGATAGTGAAAATCACAGCAGTAGACCATCCACCACGTTTTAATTAAGGACATGGCTTTTCTGCACTCGACCCTACGACGGTGCTAGGGTTGAAAGCAAGTGGCGGCAGGCAGGCTAATGCGAGTGCCTTGCTTCAATGGGGGGTGTTGGTGTTCGCCATACAACAACGCGGATACACTGAAGACAACATGCTCTGTTTGTCACCGTCACGGAATTAGGCGTGATCGATCATCAACCCCGTCGTTCAAAACAAACAGAGCAGTAAACGATGCGTCCTCGCCTCGCAAAGGCCAGGGTGGCGGTGGTGGTGGTGGTGCCCTACTGGCGCAACCAACTCAGGACATCTCTCCGCTGGCCGCGGCAAGCACTGCTACGCTTGCCTACCATTGACCACCTATCTCTAGCGGTCTGAGGTAGTTTCACCTCGAAAAGTGTGCCATGGATACGCGGCCAGACAAACGAGAAACACTCCAACTCACCAACGAAGAGAGACACCACCAGGCACGCCAGAGCGATCTGGACAGTCGGGTCAGCCAGCATAGCAACCGCAGCAGAAGACATGGTAGTGTGCAGGTGGTAGTTCCCGACTGCTGTACTGCTGCTGTTGTGCTGTGGAGCAGACGGTTGAGAGGGTGTGGACAGGAGCTGAAGAGTGAATGTAGTGGGTAGGGACGTCCGTGCGGAAAAACCGGGAGCCTGGGAAATTGCGTGATCGGATGTGGTTCCATGATTTTTTTGGCGTCCCAGTCTCGGCACGTTGTTTGCAATGGTTGGAGCTGTATTGGTTGTGGTTCTTCGGTGGGCGACGCAGACAAATCAGGGACACGGCGGTCCAGGAGAAACAGTGCGTACCCCTCTGCTAGCGTGCCGTGCTCTTTTCCCACGTCAGGGCCCAGTCGTACGTTGTGACGAGAGAGAGAGAGAGAGTAGAGCAGCAGGGCGGGACGATAGCACTGCTGCAGCAACTGCGCGCACAGAGCAGCACATTCCTTTTTTCATCCGACTACAGGACTGAATTACTTGGCTAAAGAATAGAAAGGGTAACGGTGCACAATGGTACGTGAATGTTCTTGACCTCGCTACTCTGAGTTATTGGGTGCATGCAGCACAAGAGAAAGCGCAGGTTTTCCTCGGACCACGGGGCACCGACATAAGATCGCATAGCGGTAGTTTTCAAGCATGCATGTGGGTGGAGACATGAACATGAGAGACGAGCAAACGTGCGTGCTTGCGATGGCAAGAGAGCGAGTTCACCACAAACGGATTTGGGCGCCCAGAACTTTTTCCCAGCATTTTCTTCACGTACAAGCTCATCAGCTCGATCCCGACGAATCCCCGCTTTGTATTGTAGCCGAAACGTACAATTTGGACATACGAGTATTTACCCATAGAACGTCCAGCAGTTGTTTGCAAGCAAGTGCTGGAGATTGGTGAGGTGATTGGTGACAGAGTAGATGTGTTGCCTTCGTTTCGAGAGAAGAAGAGCCTATACGGCCGGCTTATTCAGATCGGAATCTAAACTTTTGCAAACATATATACAAGGCAGCGCAAGCTCAAACTGCAAAAAAAAACATGCGCTACATGTAGCTAGCGCAAGCTAGCGCGGGGACTAAATTATTGTAGAGGTGAAATTCGAAATGTTAGGGGGTAGCTCCATCCATTTACATGTCTGGGAGACCGTGACGACTGGGTCCTAGGGACCAATGACATATTCACTGCTGTTGTCAGCCGTGTATGACGTGGGACAAGCAGTCTTGGAGTGTATTGTTTGCCATTCCCAAGGAACGGAATGATGAGTCGAGTCAGTCAGTCTTGGATTTCCAGGGCGGCTTTGTTTATTCATCATACGTACACTGTAAGGCAGCAGAATGTCTAAAGGTGAAAAAAGTATGCAGTAGTGCACAAGTAGACTAAAGAGCATCAGAACGCCACAAAAATAACGCCAAACACCAGCCATGAACGCACAAAACAAAAACAGAACAAAAACCGTAACACGTACTTCAACTCGTTGTAAAGACGTTCAAACATCTTGCCCTTCGAACCGGATGTTCTAGAGAGCGGAGACCTAGATGTAGGGTATTCCAGCTGGCATACATATGTTCTTCCAAAAAAGCACTTGGAAAAATTGTTCGAGCATAAGACACAAAACATGGCGACACAACTCAACAGCGCCAGACGATAACCAACAACTATAGAACACAAATCGAAATGTACCCCTACGCCTATGCTACATCTGTACCGGGGTTCGAAATCGGTATCACCACCCTTTCAAGACACAAACTGTTTTAACACGACCAGACCCACCCTACATTTTGTTTCGTTAACACTGGCCGCCCTACAATGTACAACTGCGTGCGATGCTGCTGCTGGCTGCCGGATGCTGCGCTACTCGTAGTGCCACCGCCGCCGCAACTTACTGCCCAAGAGCCTTATGGGCCCTTGCTACAAACTATAAACCACGTTGCCGCCGCCGAAGGCGGCGTGATTTGGTTGGTCAAATCTACTTTTAACGCGGAGACGTCCTGATCGGCGCCTTGCCGTCCGTTTTGTCGGAATCGAACACGTTCATGTCCATTTGTGGACCCAGAGACCAGTCGTAAAACACCTGCGCCAAAAAAAGACGTTGCGAAGAAAGACCGGTGGGGGTTGATGGGTTAGAGGGGGCGTACTCATGTTCTGCATGCCTTAGCTGTTAGTCCTCGAGAAGGGGGACAAGTACAACGAACAAAACAAGTTTGAGGTTTGCATCTTCAAGCCGGAAGAGCGCCGGGTACGCCTTCTCCCGATCGGCACCTTGCCACCAAGCAAAACACGCAACACACACCTGCCGCTTCATCTCCTGGTAGCTCTTGAAGTCGCTCAGCGTGTACACCTTCGGGAAGGCGGCGGGTTCCTTCTTGCCGCCGCCGGTCGACTCCCTCTTGACGCCTGACCCCCCTGCCGCCGCCGCCGCCGCCGCCGCCGCCGCAGACGTAGACCTGGTCGGCCGGCCCCCTCTCTCGCGCTTTTTGGATTGGGCCCCTCCCGTGTTGTTATCGCCCCCATCGTCCGTGTCCATGGTGTCGGCCGCCGCCTTGCCGCCGCTGGCGGCGGCGGCCCTGCTGCTCCTCTCGCTGTCGATGGCTGCCCGGAGCTTGGCCTCCAGGGCGCGTTTCGCGTTGGACGAGAAGTTGTTCTCGACGCCCTGGAACGGAAGGTGGGTCTGCTGGCCGACGTCGTACTTCTGTTTCGCGCGAAAAAAGGTGTAAAGCAGGAAAAAAAAAAGAGGAAGTGCACGGGCCGGGTTACGAAACAACGCACTTCGTTCTCGACCGAACGGGGAGAAAAACAAGGAGGAGGTGGAGGGGGGGGGGGAGTCGCAGGATGGGGATAGGGAGTACGTACTACACGACGCGACAAGACCAATCGACGAGCCTCGCAGGAAAACACCTCTCCTTATTTGTGCTATCCCGCGAAGACCTTCTCCGAATTTCTATCTACCCCCAAGGAACGCCCCCCTTTTTCCTCGCTGAGCCTCCTCGTCTTCTCTCTCTCTCTCTCTTTCTGCTTGCTTGCCTCGTCGTAGAAGCCTAGCAGCAAACCCTTCTCCGAGAACACCGTGAGCTGCTTGCTGCCGCCGCCGCCGCCTTCCCCAGCCGCGCCTTCCGGCAGCATGATGTACTGGGCCCTTTCCTCCGCCGGGGTAAGGTCATCCTTGGGGACGAAGGGGGCCACGCTGCCGGTTCGCGGGAGGCCTTCTTTTTCCCCGTCGCGCGATGATCCTCCCCCGCTGCTGGCTGTGGTTCGGCGCGCGGGCCGGGGGGGGGGGGGGGGGGGGGGGGGGGGGTTTTTTTTTTCTTTAATTTTTTGCCCCCCACCCCATAAAGGGGGGGGGGGGGGGTTTCCCCGCCCCCTGCTCGTTTTCCCAAGGGAAACCCAAAAAGGGGTTCCTCTTGGATAGGGGGTAGGGGGGGGCTCACAAAAAGGCTTCCCCCCGCGGGGTTTTGGGGGGGCCCCCAAAAAGGGGGCGGCAAAAAAAGGGGTCCCCCAAAAAAGGGGGAAACCCCCCCCGGGGTGCCCTTCCCGAGGGAAAAAGGGGGG